TCTTAAAATGACACGTTTTAATGAACAAAATACCTCCAAACTAATTAGCATCGCGATGCCAATAACAGGAGTATATATAGAGGGACGAGGGACATTTAAATACCTGAAAACTAATTCGCACCGCGATGCTAATAACAGGAGTATATATAGAGAGACGGCGTTTCTAAATATCAAGATTATAAGCTCCAGAAAGTGAAGTATTCCCGGGAAAAGGGTTTCTTTGGGGGGATACTATCAGAAAAATGGGGCTTGGCTTTTTTGGGGGGAATCACTCTTAAAATGACACGTTTTGATGAACAAAATACCTCCAAACTAATTAGCATCGCGATGCCAATAACAGGAGTATATATAGAGAGACGAGGGACATTTAAATACCTGAAAACTAATTCGCATCGCGATGCTAATAACAGGAGTATATATAGAGAGACGACGTTTCCAAATATCAAGATTATAAGCTCCACAAAGGGAAGTATTCCCGGGAAAAGGGTTTCTTTGGGGGATACCATAAAAAAAATGGGGCTTGGCTTTTTTGGGGGATCACTCTTAAAATGACACGTTTTAATGAACAAAATACCTCCAAACTAATTAGCATCGCGATGCCAATAACAGGAGTATATATAGAGAGACGAGGGACATTTAAATACCTGAAAACTAATTCGCACCGCGATGCTAATAACAGGAGTATATATAGAGAGACGGCGTTTCTAAATATCAAGATTATAAGCTCCAGAAAGGGAAGTATTCCCGGGAAAAGGGTTTCTTTGGGGGATACTATCAGAAAAATGGGGCTTGGCTTTTTTGGGGGGAATCACTCTTAAAATGACACGTTTTAATGAACAAAATACCTCCAAACTAATTAGCATCGCGATGCCAATAACAGGAGTATATATAGAGAGACGAGGGACATTTAAATACCTGAAAACTAATTCGCATCGCGATGCTAATAACAGGAGTATATATAGAGAGACGACGTTTCCAAATATCAAGATTAAAAGCTCCACAAAGGGAAGTATTCCCGGGAAAAGGGTTTCTTTGGGGGATACCATAAAAAAAATGGGGCTTGGCTTTTTTGGGGGGTCACTTTTAAAATGACACGTTTTAATGAACAAAATACCTCCAAACTAATTAGCATCGCGATGCCAATAACAGGAGTATATATAGAGAGACGAGGGACATTTAAATACCTGAAAACTAATTCGCACCGCGATGCTAATAACAGGAGTATATATAGAGAGACGGCGTTTCTAAATATCAAGATTATAAGCTCCAGAAAGGGAAGTATTCCCGGGAAAAGGGTTTCTTTGGGGGATACTTTCAGAAAAAATGGGGCTTGGCTTTTTTGGGGGGAATCACTCTTAAAATGACACGTTTTAATGAACAAGATACCTCCAAACTAATTAGCATCGCGATGCCAATAACAGGAGTATATATAGAGAGACGAGGGACATTTAAATACCTGAAAACTAATTCGCACCGCGATGCTAATAACAGGAGTATATATAGAGAGACGACGTTTCTAAATATCAAGATTATAAGCTCCAGAAAGGGAAGTATTCCCGGGAAAAGGGTTTCTTTGGGGAATACCATCAGAAAAAAATGGGGCTTGGTTTTTTTGGGGGGATCACTTTTAAAATGACACGTTTTACTGCTTAAAATAACTCCAAACTAATTAGCATCGCGATGCCAATAACAGGAGTATATATAGAGAGACGAGTCACATTTTAAATACCGCAAAACTAATTCGCATCGCGATGCTAATAACAGGAGTATATATAGAGAGACGGCGTTTCCAAATATCAAGATTATAAGCTCCACAAAGGGAAGTATTCCCGGGAAGAGGGTTTCTTTGGGGGATACCATCAGAAAAAATGGGGCTTGGCTTTTTTGGGGGGATCACTCTTAAAATGACACGTTTTAATGAATAAAATACCTCCAAACTAATTAGCATCGCGATGCCAATAACAGGAGTATATATAGAGAGACGAAGAACATTTTAATACCCCAAAACTAATTCGCATCGCGATGCTAATAACAGGAGTATATATAGAGAGACGGCGTTTCCAAATATCAAGATCATAAGCCTCACAAAGAGAGGAGATTACAACATATTTTTTGGGTTTCACAATGCATTCAGTTTTCTTAAAAGTGTAGTAGACGATCGTGATGAGCGACTCTTCAAATTTCTACCTCTACTGAAGCGTGCGGGATTTCTTTACACTGTCACGCAACGTACAAACAAAGGACTTTTACTTCCTAACCTATTCTGGAATACATTGTACATTGAAATCCGTGCAGAAATAAAATATCCGATATGTAATTTTTAAATATGTTACTTTATGAATGAAATTGATCAGAAAAAGAATAAATGAGAGTACTAAAATGTATTGTGCATTTACATGTAATCGCAATGGATAGCATTTATTCCGTATATGAAGACATTAAACGGAATAAAGTGCATACCGTCCGGGGTATATTGAATTTTGAAAGTTTTTTTTTTTTTTGAAGACCTTGGAATTTATTCCGTTATCAATTATCTCAACTTATTTCTACATAACGGAATAAAGTACATATAATGAATTTTGATACTTTTGTTTATGAAGACATTTATTCCGTTAAATGTTTATCTCAACTTATTTATAACGGAACAAAGTGCATATATTGAACTTTGATAGTTTGTTTATGAAGACATTTATTCCGTAATATATTTATGTCAACTTATTTTTAACGGAATAAAGTGCATATATTGAATTTTGCAGTATAGCCGTAATATATTTATGTCAACTTATTTTTAACGGAATAAAGTGCATATTTTGAATTTTGCAGTATAGTTTTGTTTATGAAGACATTTATTCCGTTAATACATTTATCTCAACTTTTTTATAACGGAATAAAGTTCATATATTAAATTTTGATAGTTTTGTTTATGAAGACATTTATTCCGTTATATATTTATCTCAACTCATCTATAACAAAATAAAGTACATATATATTGAATTTTTTAGTTATATAATTTATAGTTTTGTTTATGAAGACATTTATTCCGAATTATCAAAAATGCAATATTTTTTATACCGTACTTGAGAATAAGGTTATTTCTAAAAATATCACGGAAGTAACCAATTTCCCATGCAGAATTGTCTTTCGTTCCTCTGTCAGACATGTCTTATGTATAAGCCGATGACAGAGAGTGGGAATTAACGGAATAAGCATAAAATCCATAAATATTGTTGTTTAAAGACTAAATTTTTAATTCTAAGCTCGCAAAATTATAATTCTATTTACGTCAACAACGTCAACAACGTCAAAAATTATCAGCATCGCGATGCTAATAACAGGATAATGCCGTTTTACTAAATTGACGACGGATTTTCCCGTTCTTTTCCGATCATGACACACGGAGTGTGACTGGTCAGCAGGGGATGCTACTCCATGGCACCTAATCCCGCCTCCGATGTTTTCAAGGTCAGTGTTTGCTCTGTTCATATGTTGTAGGTAGTGACTGTTCCTTCGCCAAGCGCTCGGCATCAGAAGTGACAGTCACGGGTCTTTCGGATATGACCTTAAGAGCGTAGGTCCCGTGTCATGGTAGGCGCTGACACGATAAATAACCATTACTGCTCAATGGCCTTGAGTGCCGAGTATATGTCTAAATTTGAAGCCCTTCACTGGCATACGGTGAAGTCTCCATATGAGTAAAAAATTCTCGAGAAGGGCGTAAAACAATATACAATCAATCAATCAATATGTTTCACTCAAGAAGGTTGAAAATAAATTAACTTCAATTCTTTATTGGTACTTAAACACATATACAGGAATTCGAATGTGTCGTTAGCTATTTATTACAAAATATGTAACTGTAGGAAGCTTGTGTTTCTAATCTTAAAACAGTCTCTGATATGTAGACAGATATAGCCAGAATTGTTTTGAAGATACAAAGTTATGTGGATTAAGCAAACAAGATAGTGTATTAACATCTAGTAACCTTGAATACTTTTTTCTGACATATTTATTCATAAGAAAATCAAGTAAAAATTGTTTTTCATCTTCAACAATAGTTTTATAATGGAAACAAATATATATTTTCTCTAAGAATTACATGATTGCAATATCTACCTGTAAATGTATGAAAATAAATTCATGTGAAGTAACAATGACAAGTATAGCTGGTTTCTTCACTTCATAAGTGAATAATATAATAACAAATAACAGTTCACTGCAATGAATATTGCTTGTGTGTTCGACTTCATAAAAAATATTTAAAAGAAATTTTTAAGTTTAGGAATGAGAATTCTAAAATCTTTGTTAAAATGAAAAACAATTTAAGTATAAAAAAAGCATGTCAGAGCAAAATGCAAATTTTACATAATAAATAAAGATAATTAATAAATGCAATCATTATATGGAATTTTTTGATATAAATTGTTTTTCATTAATCCCTTCCCAAGTAAAAATATTTGCATGCAAAATTTACAGATGCATTTCCTTTCGCTTTTCCCCCCCTCGGTATTCAGAAACAGCCTTCTGTAGAAACTTTGATACACTTTTGGCTTGATACAAATAAGCAATATTTGATGCTGTAAGTTGAGTTTTGTCTTTGACATTCAATAAATGAGGAAAAGTATTTACTAGGTATTTACACATATCCAATTTTCCGTTCATACAACATAGATGTAACACCGTTTTCCCATCATTTCTGGTGGTTTCAACTTTAAAGCCTTTTCCCAAGAAAGATTTGAATAATTCAATGTTCCCAACCCAAGATGCATCATATAACGCATTTCCGCCATCGTTGTCCTTGATATGAAGTAACTGAGGAAAAGTGTTCACTATGTACTTACACATAGCTAGTTTTTCATTCACATCTCAAGTTTTCCGTTTAAACAACATTGGTGAAGCACAGTTTTACCATCAATTGAGGTTACTTTGGTGCCAAAGCCTTTTTCCAACAGGAATTTGAACAAATCAATATTTTCACCCCAAGCTGCCACATGTAAGACATTTTATCCAATTACATCCTTGATGTATAATAGAAAAGAATAATTTTCAACAAGATATTTACACATATCTAGTTTTCCATTAATACAACAAAAGTGAAGAACAGCTTTCCCCTCATCTGAGGATACCCTGATGTCCAAGCCTTTTCCCAAAAGAAATTTAAGCAAATCAACGTTTCCACCCCAAGCTGCCGCATGTAAAATGTTCACTCCTATACTATCCTTGATGTATAAAAGATGAGGATAATTTTCAATCAGAAACCTACACATATCTAGTTTTCCATTCATACAACAACGGTGAAGAACAGTTTTCCCATCGCCTCCTCTGGTTTTGATATCAAATCCTTTTCCCAATAGGAATTTCAGTATAGCAAGGTTACCGCCTAGAGCTGCAGCATGTAAGGCATTCTCTCCTTCATTGTCTTTGACATCTAGTAATTGAGGATAAGTTTTGACCAAGTACATAAACATATCGAGTTGTCCGTTTAAACAGCAAAAGTGAAGCACAGTTTTCCCTTCATTTTCGGAGACATTGATGTCAAAGCCCTTTCCCAACAGGAACTTGAATAAATCAATGTTTCCACCCCATGCTGCTGCATGTAAGGCATTGATTCCATCAGCGTCCGTATCATGAAGTAAATGAGGATAAGTGCTGACAAAGTACTTACAGATTTCAAGTTTTCCGGTCATACAACATAAAATAATCACATTTTTACCGTCATGTAGGTTGACTTTAATGTCAAACCCTTTTCCCAATAGAAATTCGAACAAATCAATATTTCCACCAAATGCTGCAGCATGTAAGATATTTTCCCCATATTCATTTTTGGCTTGTAGAAAAGGTGGACAAGTGTTTACTAAGTACTTACACATATTTAGTTTACCGTTCATACAGCATATGTGAAGTACAGTATTCCCATCATTTGTGGTAGCTTTGTTATCAAAGGTCTTTTCCAACAGGAACTTGAATAAATCAATATTTCCACCCCAGGCTGCGGCATGTAAGACAGTATTTCCACCAGTGTCCTTAACATGAAGTAAATTCGGATGACTGCTGATAAGGTATTTAAACATGTCCAAATGTCCTTTCATGCAACATATATGTAGCAGATTTTTCCCGTCAGTTCTTAGACTATTGATATCAAAATATTTTTCCAACAAGAATTTGAGTAAATCAATGTTACCTCCCCAGGCAGCAGCATGTAAGACATTTTCTCCATTTTGTCTTTGACAACTAGAAAATGAGGATAAGCACTAACTAAGAACTTACACATATTTAGTTTTCCTGCTGTACAAGCTTCGTGTAATGGCGTACTCTGACCATCAGTGAATGTTTTCTCTACATCCTTCTCTATAAAATATTTATACAATTCTATGTTTCCTGATTCAGCTGAATAGTGTAAAAAAGACCTGCCTTCATTGTCGTTATAATCCGGAGAAAGTAATTTTGGAAACGTGTCACAAATATACCTAACCATGTTTAGTTTCCCGTTTTGACATGCATAGTGGAGCACCGTGGTACCATGGTTAGACCTGCTGTAAGGATCACAGCCACTTTCAATCATATTTTTAAAGATTGGTTCGTCACCAACAAAGGCAACAAAATGTAGAGTGTTCCCATCTGGATCATTTTGCATATCCTGTTGAGAACTTCTGTCCTGATCAGTTTGCATATCAAGTAAATGTGGATAACGTGCTAGAACTGGCTGTATTAAATTATTTTGGCAAAAAAGCAAATCTCGTGTAGTAAACTGCATCCTATTTGATTCCATCGAATGTGATTAGAAAATGTTTTTTCGTTAAGGTCAACGTTGTCAGTAAATCGATACAGCATATCGAGATCTCCACTTTGCACAGCATGAAAGCACGTTTTAAGTCATACTTAACATCAGTTGTTAGAATCAGATCTACAATTTCCTTCTGATTGTGAGCACAGGCTTTATTTAAAGACATGTATCTTTGCTCCTGAGAAGATGAAAGCAACAGATACTTAACCCATCTAGTGTTACCAGATACACAGAAATGCACTAACATTGTTTGCCCACAGCTATCAGTATTTTATCGGATTCCATTTAGCAATGTTTGATTTCTTTCACACTCAGACCAAAACTCTTCATCTTTCCATAGTTGTAGACGGGAGATTGTTCGAAATGCAGATACTGACATTTCCTCAAACATATCAAGCAACCTTTTAACCACGTCTTGAAAAAAATCTTCCGTGATTACAACAGAATTCCAAGACAAATTCTTGCAGGTTGTGAACATCTCTAGAAGGACATGATCACAATTCTTGATAGTTTCTTTTGGGTAAAAATTGACCAGAGATTTGAATAAACTCTCTTGTACTGAGCTATGACTAAATTTATATTTTTCTTCAACGAGGTCATGGGCTATCAAGAAATCATGATAATGATATACAGACTGTTGAAAATCTAATAAAGATGCATTGTTGGCTCCAATAATTTCAAGCGATTGTTTTTTTCGGGGTATGTCTTGTGATGCAGTTTGCAACACATTTTCTTCCACACTCCCTCCACAAAAAAGAATATAGACAAGGGCTGCTGTTTTGCACTCTTTTCTACCTAAAATGTTTTTAAGATACATTTCTAAGCCATGAATTGGATTCTTTAAAAAACTAAAGCTGTCTTCAGGAAGACTAGAAATGTTCCTCAAAAAGCTGCAACTTTGGGGTATTCCAAATGTGCTTCCAATCTTGTTAATACCCAATAAAGTATTGGAATTAAGCAATTTATCAAGACCATACTTTGAAAAAAATTCAATTATTTCTGAATCTTGGAGCTGAAAGTTTCCATCTGATATATCAACCAAAGAATTTTTAAAAAAAGAATTTCCGATTGAAAGCTTATCAGCTAATTCATTGTAAATATCACTTCTAATTGTCAAAATCAAAACATTTCCCTTGTCATGATTGTCATTGCTGCAAATTGTTCTAATTAAATGCAATTTTGAGTCAAAATTATCTACTTCATTTGTCAATGTGAATTCTCCAAATAAATTATCTAAAAATAAAGCAACGTTAGAAAATGGTGAAACAGATCCATATAAATCTTGAACCCAGGTCACTTGTAGTGGAACCATTCCTTTCTTATGTACCTCTGTTAGGACGCGCATGGCTATGGTGGTTTTTCCAGCTCCCGGGTTACCTTTGATAACAACATACCTATTTGTCTCTAGAATATCTGACACTTTCTTCATTACTCGGATGTGAACGAAAACATCCCTAATCCTACGTTCTTGACTTTCCAAAGCAATCCTTGTTTTGTCTAAATAAAGAAAAAAAACGTTCAAGTTGGTTTAAAGTCCAGGTCAAATAAGGCAGACTTCCAGTTTGTTTAGTTCTTTCATCTAAAAAAACTTGGCTTGTATGTACATATATTAAACCTGTTAACATAAAATTTGAAAAATAAAACCCTTACCTATCTTTTCTTTGATACTGATATCTAAAAAGAAAATATAATTCTTGAACTTCTTTTTCGAATATATATTTATCTATTTATCATAAATCTACCATTTTAAAGTCTTAAATACTTTACATCAAACACTTAGACTTAGTGAAGTGGGAAATAAACTAGGTGTTTCACTTTCTCTAAAACGTTTATCCTTTCTTTTATACTCTCTTTGTTTCAGCAATAGGGTAAACATTCACAAGCATTGAAAACTATTTTTGCATTCATTCAATTAATTTCACTGTCGAACAGTCTGTCGAACATCATATATAAAATACAGTTTTAACTGTTTTCTGATTTTTACATCAAATAAGGGGGCAGACTTAATTGTTACCATACCTTGACCTTTAAACAACTGCAATGTAGATGGTACATGTTATGTTTAACTTGATATTTAGATTGACGACTTACCTTTTAGTTCATTCATTTCTTCTTTCTCTGTTTCTACACCTGTAACATCTGCAACCAGTGAATTTGTTCCTAAAATGGTACCAATATCATTATGTTTTGTTAAAAAACAGAAACAGTCTTGCGGCTATTTAAACATACATTCTAAGAGCATATCTCCTACTGGATTCCCCTTATTTCTTAATCATGCCGTTTAATAATATCCTCTTTCTGAAAAAATGCCCAGAAAATGCGAATTTATCGGTAATTTCATGTTACCGATAGGTTAATCTGTCTTACACAGAGACACGTCTATGAATGTCATTATAAATACAAGCATACATTCAAATCAATAATTTTTAACAATGACAATCTTCCATTCGGCTCGCCTTGGCTGACTACGGTACCCTAATCGGTCTAAGTGTGCCGAATGACACAAATTATTAATTTTGCGCCGCACGATCCCGATCTTAAACCGCATTATGAAAAATTAAAAATGTCCTCATTCCCTCAAAAATCAATTAAGTGAAACCACATTCAAACTTGATCTGTAACCCATCAATTACGCTACTCTCACATACCAAAAAATCAGTTCAATATCTGCAAGCGTTTTTAAAAAATGCGGAAAACCAAGTAGGACAAACTGACAGCAGGACAGACAAAGTGTCCTCCGGTTTCACCGGTATGTGCCTAAAATTGACTGCTGTGACCATGGTCCTAAGATGAACAATAGATCAACAAAGAAAAGATTTTAACTTTATTTTACAGTGTTCTTGGTTTCATTTTGCAATCGACGAATGTTTCCTTATCATTGTTCAGTTCAATCAAGATATTAAAGAAAGTGACTTAAATGTCCCTGCGCTTTCCTCCTCCCCAAAAGAGACAGGTATTCTGAAGCTCAAATTATCCATTAGATGCTTCCAAGGTTTACTTCTCAACCCTTTATTTAAATTTCTTTTGTTAGTAAGTTATGAAGTGTACGTTTTAAACCATCGGGGGATATTTCGTTATCGAGCAGTTACGGGATTTCTTTAAATGAAGCTTATAATAATCGATACACTTGTACTTGAACGACATACATCTGTTACACTGAAAAATAATCATATCAAAAAAGACTTGTAACAAAGAAATTAAATCTATGTTTCCTACCTGATGAGTTTTCCAAGCAATTTGTAGGTGCAGCAGAAATATACTCAATACTATGTTTTTGTTCGATATTTTTATAGATATAATATTTTAAGAAATAAAAATACACATTTTCATTTCTTTCAGTGAATATTTTTCCAAAAATATGGAATAAAAACACATACTCAGAGATTGATTCCTATTTGTGGTGGTTAAAGGCTAGTTAATGTCTCTGGTTGTGTAATATTATGCCAGAACTCGATTATAGCAACACATTGAAATACCTTTAAAGATCTTTTGTGTTAGCACCAAAACACGTTGACAAATCAATAAATTCAATATTTGCGAACTTGAAAATCTTTGTTGGATGTCTTGCTCTTTCTTATTTAAAATCTCTCGACGAAAAAGTATTAGGAAAAGCTGAATGGTAAAAATCAGCCTATGTGATATTGCTAATTTTTTGTCATTTTCATCTTCCTCTTAAAATTCACCTGGCTTGGTATATTTTTCTAAAGTTTATATTACACTTTTAGGGCCATGTCAACATATTCTGAAATTTTTATTTCACCTGTTAACCTTTACTGAATGCGATTTGTCTATATTTGATTTTTATTGAAATATTACTAATATTTTCCAAGTCTATTTCATTTTCCAGTTCTTTGGAGAAAAAATTCTAAAAACCATCCACTTTTCTAAACTTGTGACATGATATTAAATCTTTTTTCAAAGAAAAATGTGTTTGTATCATCTGTCCTTAATCTCTGGAAGGCATTTTCTATGACTTCCTTTAGGAGAGAGTGCCTAAGAGAGAAAGAGAGTGGATAAGGAAATATTGTATCGATGGAACATGAAGAATGCATATTCATAAACCGAAAATATAGATAATGTGCTCTATTTAATCCAGACAGACAAAGTATTTCTCTGTTTTCCTTGATATTCATTATGAGGGTTTTTCTTTCAACTGTATTTTTTGTCGTCGGTTTACAAGGTAGGCAAATACATAATTATATTAAATACGTCAATTTTGTAACTTTGTTTTAACAGTAATTTTAAAATCAGTAAAAAAGAAAATAAACAAGAAAGCGGGTGTTTTGAAATGAAAGAAGATTTTTTTTAATTTTATTTTCAGATATGAGAACTTTTGTAATCAACATTTCAGTTTGTTTTATGTTCTTACTCAAAATTTTCAAAATCAGTTATGTGAAATACTACAGTCGTTTGTGATACGATTACACAAACTGTGGTTAATAGTCTCAGCACTGCATAGTTAACACAATGCTTAAAATTTTGAAATCTTATCCATATGATTCTTTAATAATTTTTTTAATTAAAAATACAATACCACAAATGCTTACATCCTTAACACTGTTGCTTATGAAAGATGCAATTGCAGAATTATACAGCTAAAGTTTAAAAAAATAAATCATGGTTTAAAGTGTGCTATTTCTTTACAGAAATATTCTTATTTTCCTGTCTATGAAGACAGAATAATTCGGTACATGACGTTTTTTTTACTGTCTGGTTTCATGATAAGGTCTAAAATCGCATAAGGAATATAGCACCTTAATTGTTCCTCTGTCACTCCTTTTAACAATATTCAGAATAATGTTATCTCAGAACTGGGTCATATTTAAATAAATCATTTGCAAAAATCAAATTTCTATTATTATGACAGTTTGCAATACGAAAGGGGATGAAAGAAAAAAAAACATAAATGTTTAATATTCAATGCTGGGCAAATTTGAAAGAAATTATTGTTATTATCAAATGTCAAAAAAACATATTGATTGATAAAATCGAGAATCTATCCCCTAATTTAAATATTAGACCATACTTTGATATTTAGTTTCCTGTAACCTCAATAAGATTTTGAATTGTACTATGACATCAGTCTGTTTCTAATTGTTTTGACCCTAATCTGATTTCTAGCTGTCCTGTGAGCTCATAATTTTATCTGCCTGATTCTTTTTTTTTTTGGTATTTTGATTGTTTTGGTTTTTGTAAGCGAGGTATCGTGTATACAATTTTTTGTTCCTCATCATGTCGCCTTTTTGAAGCCATGCTGAGAAGAGGCGGTGTCACAATACATTGATACATCAATGCATTGTGATACAGAGGGGGTCTATATTATGCATCCATACAGGAAATAAAGAATCATTTTTTATATACTTTCAGGAAGTACCGTATATGTGTATAAATAAATGCGCATGCTTTAGGTTTCAATATAAAGTATTTGAGTATTTGCTCAGGGGTCATTTTAAAAAAAAGTTCATTTTTTGAATGACATATTTTTGAAAAAATTCGAATGATTTTTTCAACTCTGATTGAATAATACAGTATTAAACTACTAAAATTCATCGCATTGCAAAAAACAAAATATTTATTTTAAAAAGTATTGACATTTTATCTTAGTCATTTAAACTTAAAAGTCCTTCCAGTTACTTTCATAAAAAGAGCTTTAAAACTCTTTTTCAAAATGTTCATCAAATAATCATTTGTGTATTGTTAAAAAAGTTTTAAAAATATCATTGAATGCCAGGATGCTTGACATTTATCTCATACGTGTTGGTGATGCAGGCCGTTTGATAAACTTATGCTTTATCAACGAGTAGATGCTTTATCAATAGCACTTCCGGGTTTGACACGACCCCTCGCTTCAAAAATTTATTTGAAACTTTTACTTGTGATCCCTCTTATTGCCCTAATAAAATGAATGATAAAGAGCGATAATATCTTTAAAATCTAGAAAAAGTGTTCTAATCATTTTATCAAGGAACCTGTATTGCCTCCTTGAAGATGTTAATTACGCCCCCCCCCTCCCCCTTTAAATTGTTTTGAAATTTCGGAGAAAGTAAAGCCTAGCAGTTAAGTTATTGTTATAAGATTCCTTTAACATCTTCAATAAGGCTTTCTTATATTAAACTACGTATGCCTACCTAGTAATACGAGTGTAACTTACCATGGATCAATAATGAATCTACAAGTAGGCCACTAGCCTTGCCTATCACGTTTTGTACTGTCATCGTCCAAAGAGTTCATTTTCATGATCCAATGGTCCTTACAACTTTCAGTCAGAAGTCCCTTTTATGTAAAGCTCCAGGAATTGTCACATAATCTTTTCAAAGATGCAGATAGTAAAAATTCTAAATTGTGAACACGATCTATTTTTTCGAGGTATGTCATAACATCAACGGTGCTACGTCATCAAGTTATACGTCATCATCATTCATGTAGTTTGACAGGGGAAGTTTCAGAGTTTTGCTAAAACGAAAGTCGTATGCGATAAATAGAATATCTATAATTGTGTGATTTGATATTGGCTTTATCCAACTCGTTGAAATGGAGTATATGCGCTCGGCAAGCCTCGCGAATATATATGTCACGACAGCCGTCGTGCTCTGTTCGGTCAGACAACAACAAGATTTTTTTTCTATTTACAATTTTTTATCTATAAATAAAACCAATAAAAACAATATATATTTACATATATAATTTACAATAAATAGAACTTAAAGTCTCTTATAATCCTCAATATCGTTGGTTCAGAACCACGTCTACGCAGACACGCCCCGTTTCACGACGGACTCCCGCCAACTTGCTCCCAGTGGGTATCCCGGTCTGGTTAAGGTCTGGTTAAGGTCGTCACCAACACACACATGGCTAGATCATAATTGGATTACATCTGGAACCTTTAAATTAAATAACATTTTTAAGTCACAGCCTACGTATACAAAAGGAAAAACTCAAGTCGCCATTGACTACAATTGCACTAATGGCACACCATACAAACAGTATCGGTATTTCTAACCAAACACTGTCAAATACAAAGACAACGTTAAGAATATTCACAATATCTTAACAAAAGTGGTATTAACAATTAAACCCACAACACCGACTTTATAAGCGGCAAAACAAAATAGCCTACGTGCGTACATAACTTCGTACAATGCACTAGAAATAGAACAATAAACGCATGAGTAACTCTACCCAGCAAAACCTGTATACGTAAATAGTAACAAAAACATTACTGAACTCAAGTTCTTAAATAGTTCTTCGTTTTAAATGTATTACTCAAAAACTTATATAGAAAAGAAAAAAGAAACTTACCCCTTATGCAGAAATGGTTACCGTTGGAAAAAATTATTTATGTACGCATTTTGGACTCTAAATGTACGTCAAGCATGTAAAAACTAGTGATGAAAACGTGGACCCCGGCTACTTGGTCAGTTATGCAGCGATTTAAATATCTCATAATACAATAGGTCGTAACTAACCAATACCTGCAAAACTTAACTGAGGTTCAATAAGGTAACAAAAATATAGAGGTCCAGTAAAGGGTAAATAAAATAAAAACCATAAACATAATGTAAATGCAATTAAAATTAAATATTGATTGTGACAATATCTCCCCAACATAAGAAAGGTCAACCAACTTTTGAAAAAACACAATCAATAATAGCATAAAATCAACTATACATAATTATATACATATCTAAATTCTGCTTAGACAATCAGCTCCTACATTTTCAGAACCCTTGATGGAAATAATGCGAAACCTGCAGGGTTGCAGAAGTAATGCCCAGCGCATCAGACGTGCGTTAGACACCTTGGCTTTAGTAAGATATACTAGTGGTTGATGATCTGTCTCTAGTAGGAATTCCTTACCATACAAATACCTGCTGAACTTTTGAACTGCCCAGATTATCGCATAGCACTCTTTCTCGATTGTAGAGTAATTTACCTGACATTTGGAAAGTTTCTTGCTAGCGTATGCGACAGGTTTCTTCACACCACATTCGTACTTCATGAAAACTGCCCCAACACCACGATCTGACGTATCAGTCTGTAGAACAAAGCTTTCATTCAAATTAGGTAGATTGAGAACTGGTGTTACCGTTTAACGTTCTTGAAAGTGGTGAATGCATTTTCCTGAGGTTCTCTCCAAATTACCTTGTTGGGCTGGCCGTTCTTGGTAAGATCTGATAAAGGCGAAGCAATAGCTGAAAAATTCGGAATGAATTTACGATAGAATCCTACCAGACCTAAAAATGATCGCACTTGCTTCTTCGTTAAAGGTTGGGTAAAGTTGTGAATGGCGGAAACTTTGTCAGGAAGAGGTCTAAGTTCTTCATTTCCTGCAATATGTCCGAGACACTCAAGACTCCGGTAAACAATAAAACACTTACTTGGTTTCACAGTCAAATTTGCAGCACGCAGTCTTTGCAAAAATTCCCGAATCACATTGATGTGTTCCTGAAATGTTCGAGTGTACACAATTACATCGTCTATAAAGTTATCCACACACTGCATTCCGTCTAAGAGCTTACGCATCAGGCGACTGAAACTTGCGGAAGCGTTTATCAAGCCAAAGGGCATCACCCTGAACTGAAACAGACCAAGTGGTGTTTGGAAAGCGGTGATCTCCTTCGCTGCATCATCCAATGGTAGCTGCCAGTATCCCTTAGATAGATCAAATTTGGACACATATTTACATCCAGATAATTGCACATAAATATCATCAGCATTTGGAATTGTTTCTGCATCGAAAACAATTATTTTATTAATTGCACGAAAATCGATACAAAACCTGTTCGAACCGTCCTTCTTTTTCACGATGACTATCGGGGAACTGTATGGACTCGTCGAAAGCTCGATAACATTGGCTTCCACCATCTTCCTTACCTCGTCACAAACGTCTTTTGAAGTAAACGGCAGAGGATAAGGCTTGGTGCGAATAGGCTGGTCACTAGTCAACTTGATATGATGAACTCCGAGATTCGTCAAACCAGGTACATCTGACAAAACATCTGAAAAATCCTCTAGTAATGTCTTGACATCTGCTTTTTCATTTTCAGCTAGTTCATCACTTATTTTCATATCTGCCGGTCCCTCCTTTATCGTTTCTCCTGGAGAATCACACAACAGCTCATCGTCGCTCTCTCCATCATCATCTAGCTCGAGTACTGCGGCGCCTACAACACCTAGAAC